CACCCAACACACACACACGCGTAATCTATGGCACTTTATTAGACAAAAATAATAAGAACCATATTAATCAATCCAATACGGGTCGTAATTTAAGTATTTCGATTTTCCATAGGGACAACATTACTAATATACACCTAATTTAGGTATCAACAAATTAAATAAAACCTACAGTGTATGAAATTTGTACTGACAATAAATTCGGCGTGAAGTCGCTTCACATTGTTACCATTAGCCACACTTTAAATGGATCCATCTCTACCCAATTTGCAATTTGTAAAAAAGTGTTTTTTTTAAATTATTATTATTATTCATCCACATATCCAGGTATCCATGTAATTCCACGGAGTAAACGTAACAGGTTTTTTTTTTTCACGTCTCACTAAGTTACAATGTAAACATTTCCAACTAATCTATTATACATTCCGTTTTAGAAGTTATTTTTCTTCTAAAAGAGGGCGCCAGTTATGCCAATGTACTTCAAATTCGTTTTTCTTACAGTTGGTATCAAACATATACCTTTCCACTTTATAGAAATGTGTTATCTCAGTTAATGCATTCTTGAAGATAGGCATACAATTTTTAAACCTGCATTTATAAATATGGAATTTTAGGACCATTATTATGTTATTAAAAACATAATCTCTTTGTTCAAAGTTTCTCAAAAAGGACCAGTTTTTTACTCAGCACTAAATTTACTTTAAGGAATCATTTACCCAAGTCAAGAAATCATTTACCCAAGAAACAGTTCCAGTAGATCTTAATAATATCACAGTGACAAAATAAATGTATAATCGACTCGTCAAATTTCTTACAAAACATGCAATGAGAATTGTCACCTTTACCCATTTTAACTATGAAGTAGTCTTGGTTTACTCACAGACCCTAGGCTCTGTGGTTTACTCAATAATTGTTGAAGCGTTTTTGTTTTTTTTTAATCTTTTTAGTAGCTTTCCATTTTAAGCATTGTCGGACACGCATCAACTGAATTCAATTAAACCTTTTCTGATGCAAATATAGACCAACAGTCAGTTCTTTTGTGTACCATAAGCATACCGTAAAAGAATATAGGAAAAAGTGGCCCCGGAAAACATTGCCTCTGAAAAAATGGCCCCGGAAAATAATGGACCTGGATGAAATGGCCCTGGTAAAAATGGGCCCAATGATAAAATTCAGTAATACAAATTGATTTTTCCTTTTTAATCTTCCAACTACAGTACATAAATGCTAAATAGCAAAAATTGAATCAATATATCAACATAAATCGACGTTAGTACGGTAGATCATGTGTTTTTGAGAATAATTTATATCTTATTTCCATGTCACTATGCGTCAGAAAAATATCATAGGAGTGTTGTTTTGCCCTACCTGACGTGTTATCGTAAGCAATACTCGGGTGAATCACTTGCAATTTTTTTCGCAAGTATTTGGGAACGTGCTGAGTATTCGGTATGATAACTCGTCAGGTAAGGCAAAACATCACTCCTATGATCTAAATCTTGTTTATTTTGAAGATAATTATTTACTTTAAGGAATACAGAGCACCTTCATTGTTTATCAAAGTTTTAGTTTATTTTTAGCAATAAAATCTAAATGTATTTATGTTATAATAGAGTAAGTTAGAATATAACTTAAGATCTAGTAGTAACATTTTGTTAAGAGATGCTACTGTCAAATGTGTTTTAAAAAATCTTTTTAGCAAGAATTTACATAAATAAAAATAAAAATAATAATTATTAATAAAAAAATAATTATTAATAAAGATCTAGTAACTTTTTTTTATTTTTAAAAATTTCTGCTTCAAAAGTTTTTAAAACTCATCACAGTAGCATCTCTTTAAAAATTAATTGATTTGTTTAAAAACACAATTGATTGTTTAAATTTTAGGCCTATTATTTAAAAACACAAACAAATGATACATTATTGATTAAATTATTTATTAAAAAAACCCAAACAAATTGTTCAAATTACTGGATCTTATAATGTAAATGTTGGAATTAAAAAAGAAAATACTTATTACTTACTCTTTAAAAATCTGTTAACTATTTATTAATGTGATTATTAAATTTCTGTTTATTTATTTAGGATTTGATTAAAATTAATTAATTAATTAATTATAAATAAACGATTTTACATTTTATTGAATTGAAACTTTGTATCAATCTGTATCACAGAGTGTAAAAACAGGAATTAAATCACAACTACAGTGTAAACCAAGCGTGTTTGTTAAATTTATTTTGTTTCTTGGAATCCATGTACAGTGTATGTACGGTACTTTCATGGGCTTCCAAATGGGCTTCTTTTCGTGGCTACTTTAATTTTGTAAACTAAAAAGGGGGCTTCAATTCGAGATCGATTTCTAGAATTGGGCTTCTATTCGAGGTTTTACGGTATTCACCTATATCAGGCTACTACACCTAGCAGATGAGCAAAAGTTGTTAAGATGATTTGATAATGACGAAATGAAATCGGAGGATTTATAAAAAAAAAAACGTAAGCAACGACATAAAGCAGTTTTATTTAAAAAATTATAATACTTCAGTACGGAACAGCATCAGAAACTTTCAGTAGGCTTATATACAAGGCCCACAGCACCAATGTAAGGTACCCTGGTTTAATTGATTAAATCTGTATTAACGAAGATAATTACAAGGAGATTGTCCTCCAATTTTATTTTTCTGAGTGTTGTGTCTGTTGTACGTGTTCTGTTGTACTTTTGTTGTTAATTGTTTTGAAAATATTGTTGTGGTGCTTGTGACTTTGTGTTTAACATGCAGCCTGAATTTTTCCCTGAACATTGAGACTTGCGTGCGCTTTTACAACCTCAAGCAAAAAGGCGCAATATCGGGCGCAATATAAATGCTCATACCAGTACCATCGGTCGCTTTAGCTTTGTAATATCGCTGACGTTATTATTTGGTTTATATAATAAACTTTTAAAATGATATTTGAACTAAATCTCGTTATTAAGTGGTGAGAATAAATCAATTATACTTATTCGGGTACCTAAGCAAGTTTACAAAAATAACATGGTGTCCATTTTGAAACTGCGCTTCTTTGTGTTCTTTATGATTTGATTCAGAAAGTAATCCAAAGACTCTAAATGAAACTACAGTAGTACAGTTCTAAAGTAGTCATTACAGCTACTATTATAGAGAATAGTCATTCAGATTCCAGATTAGGGTGCACAAAGCCGGGCACACACTGCGGTCTAGGTGAGCGCTCGGCTCGACTTGACCAAGGTAATTCAACAAAAGGACGCACATCTCGGGACATCAAAGGTTATAACTCTGGCATCGACATTCTAGGCGCAGGTGCGTACCTACACGCTGAACGTCACAAAAACCATAGCAACCAGACCATAAACCGTCAGCGTACGTGACGATTTACCCACGCGCGTGTTAGTTGCCATGTTAGTCGCGCGTCGTGCGGTGATTACAAAGGCCTAATGATATTAGACTGAAATATATTCTTCATTTCAACATTAATTTTAACAAAATTGTGGTGAATCTGTCTCTTATACACATCTAGATGTGTATAAGAGACAGGGATATTTGAGAAATAAATGTGAATTTTTCATATTACAGTATTAAATTTTAATTTCTATTTAATGTGTCAACCAGAGTATACAACACGAATATACATCCATGCATATCATAACAATGCATCAAGTTTAAATTTCCCTATATTTCATCCTTTATTACAATTAGAAAGTAAAATAAATACAATAATTTAAAAAAAGGAATATGAATATAAAAATACTGTGAGAATAAAGTGTGTACTTATAAGTAAATACACATACAGGGAAGATGCAGACACATTGTCAAAA